GTAGATCCCTCTCGGACCGATGTTCTTGAGAGAAGGAGTCAATCCGAAGGTTCGCTTGGTAAGAGACCCTCGGTTGAGTTCGTGGACCGTGTGAACTTCTCATACGATGAAAAGACTCCGTTGGTACACAATCCGGACAGGTGCGCGGATCTTACTCGACAGATCCGAGGTGGACCGGTTGAGATGCCTCAAGTTAAAGATCTTTTCTTTAAGGACGAGTATACGGAAGCGGCGCTGGCGAACAGACGGGTATGTTCTTTGATTAAAGCGTTGATGGTTATGGTTTTGTCTCTACCTCCTCCGAACGCTGATCTCTTGACGTTTGTTTGCTTTTAGGCTGATGGGAGCATGAACGTCCTTGTCGAGAAGTACGATAGGACTTTAAAGCAGACGATGGTTCTACTCGGGAATTCTGAGCAGCTTGCCCGCACGAGACTCAGCGTCATCGAACAGATCAAGGCCGACAACAAGAAGGAGAAGGAGATCCTTCGTGAGAAGTTTACCGGGTTTGAGAAGATATTGAAGGCTGACCGTGCCGCGAAGAAGCTGCTCACGCGGGAGAAAGCGAGTCTTGAGAAGGCCAATGCCGCACTGGAGCAAGAGAAGGCGGAGCTTCAGGCGGAAAGGGATGCCTTGACACAAAAGCTGATCAACGAAAGGAAGCGTCTGAGGGACTCGCGGAGCCAGGAGGTTACGCGCGAAAGGGTGCGTGTCGAGGCGGCTATGATCGAGAAGGCTAACCATTGCCTTGATCGTGTCCGGGTTTACCTTGAACGCCGCAACATCATTGACCGGGAACAAAGTTTGTTCGATCAGGCTTCTGGGACAAGGAAATGTCTCGAGATGATCCAGGAGGAAAAGGTCGGGATTACGCAGGAGCTGATTGACGTCTTCGGTGGTCAAGAGAAGGAGCATGAAGCCAATGTTGCCAAACTGAATGTACCCCCTTTATCCGATGCTGATCTCACTCTGTCGCCGCTAGTTCTTCCTTCCCGGTTTGTGAATGAAGAGTTTGCGGTTATGCTCGATCCGTATGGGTCAAATGACGATTTGGTTAGATCGGAGACAGCCTCGCAGCTTCGGACGTCAGACGAAGTTCTTGGGAACGAATCAACCGGTAGGTCACAGGAGATTCCAACTGACATAGTTCCATCTCAGAAGGAAGGCGGTGATGGGGCGGAAGATCCGTCCGGACGTCAAGGGGAGACAAACTTCGCTGAGAAGCTCGCTTCTCCGACTCTGATCGAGCATGAGAAGTTACCTGAAAAGGTTGATGGGGGTGAGCTGGTGTCTGCAACTGACTTTGTGGAGACTCCCACTATTGTTGAGGATAGCGAAACTGCGAAGGGGTTGGGAACGGAGTTGGTTGCTTCCAATGTTGGCGATCCTTCCCGCTCCAAGGAAAACATTTGATCGCCTCTTGTTGTTGTATTGCTATTTACATCAGGAATTTTTTTGTTATCTTTTTTTTTTTGAGGTCCTGCTGGTCCTTTGTTGTAAGACTTTGACTCGGTTTGCCGCCTTCTGAGCGTGCTTCAATCTAAGATTTTCTATAAAATGTGGTTAAGTGTTTGAGAGTTTATCCCAAGTTAACTATTTGCGCACATACGTTCCTGAAAGAAAGGTTCTGGACCGGCTAGTTGGTGATTTAACGAGTTTAGTCGGCCAAAACTTTCATTCGTTTACTCAGATAGCGGTCCAGATTTCTTTCGCATGTCGATCCTGGTGGGATGCGACTTCGGATCCCTCAATCAAGTGTCTGATCAGGACAAGATTGATTCGTGGGTGCGAGTATCTGTGTCTTCGTCTGCAGACGAGAATGTGGATATCGCCTTGACCGCGTTTGGTCATGACAAAGTTTGGAATTTGGTGTTGTTACGGCTGCGCCTGATTAGGGCTGCCTACGTACCTCGAAAGAGGATCAAGCCATTCGTAGTTCGATTTACCCGAGCAAAAGTGGCTGTTTTAAGGCTCATTTACTCGGGCGAGTAGAAGTGACAACTAGGGTGCATCTACTCGTTTGTTTTTGGTTGTAGTTACAGCTGGACCGGTTAAGGCTACCTACGTACCTCCAAAGAGAATCAAGCCGTTCGTAGTTCGATTTACCCGAGCAAAAGTGGCTGTTTTAAGGCTCATTTACTCGGGCGAGTAGAAGTGACAACTAGGGTGCATTTACTTAAGGCGCAAAAGCGGCAGGGACTCAGAGCCGCACACGGCCAGTCCGAAAACAATAACGGCCACGCTCGGCCAGACCAAACGGTCTACGAGACTAGTCTCAAGGCCGGCAAAGGTCAAGATTCCATCGACATCATTATACTCGATAAACATATAACTAGACCGTAAAGGTCTTGCTGGGAAAAAGGTCAAACGAACCTTAACTCCGAAACGAACTACGAAAGGCTTGATCCCCTCAAAAGGGTACGTAGGCAGCCTTCACAAGGCGCAGCCCTAATCTTAAACGCTTTCCGCTCCCTGGAAAGTGGAAAGATCACTTTCAACGGACCTTTCCGACCATTAATTCCGCCTAACTTAACTAAAACTGGTTAACCACTAGCAAGAACCTTACGCTAAAGGCTCACGATTCTTACGAGCTGGGGGGCTAACTGTTGGGGTCAAAATCGGTACGACGGAATTAACAGCCAAAACTCCCAGCGAAAGTACCAAAAGAACAGTTTTATAAGACCTAAGGAATGGTTTTATAAAACTGTTCGTCATTTATAAACTCGCAAAACCGTTTTGTAAAACTCGAGAAATCGCTTTATAAAACTCGAGAAATCATTTTATAAAACTCGAGAATCGTTTTATAAAGCTCGAGAATCGTTATATAAAGCTCGAGAATCACTTTATAAAACCCTAGAATCGTTTTATAAAACTCGAGAAATCGTTTTATAAAACTCGAGAATCATTTTATAAAACTCGAGAAATCGTTTTATAAAACTCGAGAAATCGTTTTATAAAACTCGAGAAATCGTTTTATAAAACTCGAGAAATCGTCTTATAAAACTCGAGAATCTTTTTATAAAACTCGAGAAATCGTTTTATAAAATTCAAGAAATCGTTTTATAAAACTCGAGAAATCGTTTTATAAAGCCCGAGAATCGTTTTATAAGACTCGAGAATCGTTTTATAAAACTTGAGAATCGTTTTATAAAACTCGAGAAAAAGTTTTATAAAACTCGAAGATTGTTTTATAAAACTCGAAAGATCGTTTTATAAAACTCGAGAAATCGTTTTATAAAACTCGAGAAATCGTTTTATAAAACTCGATAATCGTTTTATACTCAAGAAATCGTTTTATAAAACTCGAAGATCGTTTTATAAAACTCGAAGATCGTTTTATAAAACTCGAAAGATCGTTTTATAAGACTCGAAAGATCGTTTTATAAAACTCGAAGATCGTTTTATAAAACTCGAAGGTCGTTTTATGAAATCCGAAGATCGTTTTATAAAACTCGAGAATCGTTTTACAAAACCGCAAAAAACCGCAAAAACCGAAAAAGCCGTAAAACGCGAACTAGTTCGCCCATCGGCGAACTAAGCCGGGCCCGGCTTAGTTCGCCGATGGGCGAACTAGAGACTTCCCGGACACTCCGCGTCTCGATTTCTCGCATTCCCGATTCGAAACTTGCGTCTTTCGACAAGGTCGCGTTCTAAACCACGGCCGAAATATCTCCTGTTCCATCTTGATCCGACTTACCGTTCAAGTTTTACGATAAAAATCGTAAAACTTCGTTTTCTCGGAAAGAACTCGAGGAAATCGTATAAAACGGCAACGGTTAAACGAAACACCGAACATTGCCTAAACTATAAGATTTATTCGAGATTTCTCGTTTAAATCATAAAAACGCGCTTTTTAATAAAAAACGTCGAGTAAGTCGTAAAAAACGTGTTTTTAATAAAAAGTCGAGTAAAACGTAAAACTTTGCGATTAACTCGAGAAATTTATTAAAAACGACGTCAGATCGGGAAACGATCCCGTAAAAGTCGAAAAATAATTTTTATCGCGAAACGGTCCGGAAGGACCTAAAACGCGATAAAAACCCATCTCACGATTTCGACGGAATCAAACCCGCAGATTTGATAACGTTTTGACGGTTTACTCGCAGAAAGAAAATAAAAGTCAAGTTTAAGCATAAAAGGAAGGTTTGAAGAGAAATAGAAGATTTCCGCAGAAGAAAAGGAAGGATCGAGAAGAATGGAAAATTCCCGATTTAGTCAAATCTGGGCGAAATGGAAAGATCGGATAGCCAAGACAAGGAGTATATAAAGAGGAGGTCTAGGGCAGAAGCACAGGGACGAAATTCAGAGCTCTCACCACCAAAACTAGCATTTAGGAATATTTCCGTTTTTCTGTTAGCGAGCTGCGTCTCAATTAGGGTTTTCTAGTTCTTACGCTTTCGGCTACTCTTTTTGTACCAGTTCAACGCAGATTCGGAATAAGAACCTTCTTGCTTTCAATCTCTCTTATTTTCGTTTTAATTGTAAGTGTTTTAGTCATCTTAATCTTTGTTGTGCGGTTCTCGCAGATAGCCTGTTCCTCTGGAAACTTAGGGTTTTCCCGAAGTTTCCTTATTTACGATTTATTTGACAGTAGGGTGAAATTGACTCCCACAGCTATTCCCATAACAACCGCAAGTCTTTCTGGCCAAGAAAGAACAGGTTTCGTATCATCAAATAAATGCTCGTCAAGACTACCGTTTGGCATGTACTCTGAGACCAAAAGAAGCTCACGCTTTCTCCTCCAGTAACCGAAAAGCGGAACAAGATTCCTGTGTTTCAGACATCTCATGGACACGACCTCAGCCACAAACTGCTTCACACCTTCATCACCATTGTGGGAAACTCTCTTCACTGCTATCTTTCTCCCTTGAGGAAGGTTTCCTCTATAGACTTCACCAAAACCTCCTTTTCCTAGAAACTCATCTTTACTAAACCTTTTTGTTGCTTTGTATAAAGACTTGTAACAGAACCGATGCGCATCAAACTCCTTTTCCCATGTTTCAGAAACTTCTGAAAACTTCTTCCTCCGGTGGAAATAAACTCCTGCAAGAACAGCCAACACCATAATCACCACACAAACAACCAGAGCAATAATCCATGTAGGTTGCTTCTTATGCACACTCAGTAACGTTTTGATCAAAACACACCCAGTAAGCTAAATCAATGTAAGCACTAAAACAAGTAACTGGAATGTGCTTTGAATCATGTAAATTCAAAAGATGGGAGATTCAATATACCTAACTTCTGGGTCAAGGGTTGATCGTGGATAAGCATGGACCTTCTCTTGTTCACACTGTGGTGCCTTCTCCTCCAGTAACTGAACACATCCCTTTGCAGAAACCTGCAACTTCACAATCACAAGCTGAGATAAGAGTCGAGACGCGCAAAGCTTCTCTTGTTCAAACAGTGATGCCTTCTCTGCCGGTAACTGAACCACCTATCACTTTGCAAAAGCCTACAACTTTGTAATCACAAGCTGATAGAGATGATGTCAAATGATAGAGATGGAAAGCGTGGCCAGATACATGCTCTTCAGGAACACCAACCATCTCAATTTGGAGATCACCTCGAGTCCTCTCTCAGCTACCTCTAAACTCTTCTCTGGATGCAAAGACTCTCCGTAGAGAACCTTTCCCTTAACTAACCGAACCATCCATCACCATCTTCACTTACAGGAGAAGTCAGACCAACTATACCAGACGCCACATCTCAACCTCTAGCAAACATCAAGTTCCCAAGAAACCCATTAACATCAAGCTTCCTAGCATCCCATATGTTAAAAACAAGCGGACCAGTTTCCTTATTTGATCTGTCCTGCACAAACTGGTCAAGCTTCTGAAGATTCCGAGCCAACATTTCAATAACAAAACCCATGGAATGCGAAAAGGGGTTGTTTCCTTCCTTTTCTTTAGACTTATCCTTTGTCTTAACGTTCTGTTTACGTGAATGCAAAAGAGTATTCTCATCTCTGTGAACCCTCTTCTTAAAGGGAATAGGAAACAAATGGACAAAGCTACTAACCAACAAAGACCAAGTCATAGCAAACTTAAAGCAATTCGTACACGAAACATCACCATCATCCTCTCTCTCCAAGAACTTGTCTTTCTTCTTCTTCTTCTTCTTCACAACCTCGTTTCTATGGCTAAGCTTCTCGTTCGCTAGATTCGGTGAAAACATGCCAAGGAGTGACTTCATAGAGATTTTGAAAGACAAACCTTTCTTCATCTCGTCACTGGCCAAAGACTGAACACTGTTATCATCGTCCTTCGAGTTAGGACAAACCCGCTTCTTCTTGTTTCTTCTTGAAGGTCTCAACACCAAACGAAAGTCCCTTTCTTTGCTTACCTAACAACTCTCGATGTCCTTCGCAGCCTTTTTGACGCCAAGCTCGATGGGGGTGAAGAGCAGCTTTAACGACTTGGATTGAATTGAATATCGTCCCGATGGGATCGTTCGATGACACCATTGCGTCACCGCAACATCAAAAATCGAATGAAGAAGACGAACTCGTTAACCCTAGAAACAAAAAGGACGCAAACGTCGATTCAGATATCAATCTGAGCATTAAGCGAGAGGATGCGAGAGAGAGTCTGAAGAAGACGAAAAGAAATCTCGGGTTCTCTTGCAATCTCTTTCGTCACCATTGGGCGAGACAGACAAGAGAGAGGACGGATCTCGCAGAGAGAAGAATGAATTGAAGAGAAGATAGAGCAAGTGTAATATTGTCTTTTGATCGTTAATGAATAGTGTATTTATGAAAATGTCTCTTGAGTTGTGGTAAAGTTGAATTGTGGTATCATAAAAATGGTAGTTATGCAATTTTCCCAATTTTCTTTTGTTGATGGTAAACATGAAAAGTGGTATCACCAAAGTGGTATAATTGAAATTCTCCCATTGTATTTCCGTTATAAACATCTTGAAACTTATTTTTCCGTCATAATATCAAATGTTTATAACAAAATAAAAAGGTTCATAGGAATATATCTGACAAAGAAATGAGAACTTATGATGTAACACGAGTTATATTGGAGCAGCTAATTACTGTAAGGCTAAATGATAACTACATGTAACTACAATAAATCTTTATAAATAAAGTTGAATTTTCTTCTCATTATGACATATCATCAAAGTTTTCTATAAATTATTTTACAAACAAAAATTATCAAAAATATAAAGTGTTTAACTACTCCACATTTCACATTTCTCATCATCATATCTTTTAAAGCAAATATATTAACAAATTACTAATAATTCAGAATTTTTAATCTACAATTTATTTTCAATAAATTTCCACCAATCCAAATATATATTTTAGCACACAACAGTATAATATAATCTAAAATACATAAACTGTTATAAAAAAAATTAAAATACATAACTTAAAAAAAAAAAGAAGATAAAAATCAGTTTATGATATCAGATTAACATGAAAGAGTGAGTGTCATGAAATTATTCAACCATTTTTATTATGAAACTCAAATTAAAAAAAAAATATAATGAACTATACATAATATATAACCAAACCTTTCAATTTTTATAAAAATGTTGAATAAAATGTTTACAAGAAATAAATTCCAACTAGAACATGGTGAACTATAGTAAAACCTCTATAAATTAATAATGTTGGGAGTTTAAAATGTTATTAATTTATAGAAAATATAAATTTACTAAAGTTTCCTTATTTAGATTTTTTTTTATTTTAAGAAATAATTATTCTAAGATAACAAAAATATTTGATGTTATTGTATAGACATTTGTCATGATTTTTTTGAAATTTGAAATTTATATTAATTTTATTATATGATTTTGTGTATTAATATATTTAAATATTGTTCTAGATATAATATTACTAAATCTCATTAAAATTATACTAAGTGTTAAGAAAATATAAAGACAATTTCATTGTGAATATAAAACAATATAATGATAAGTTTTTACTTATATAAATATTTCTACATATAAATTATTAATTTATAATTTTATTGAGACCATATATTTATATAGTTTAAAAAAAATTATTATCTTATTATTTTATCAATTTGTGTCAAATTTTGAACCGACCCAAGTTGGAACCGAAAAAAGTTATTAATTTATAGATGTTCTATTGTATCATCATCTAGACACATGACATGTTCAATGATTTATGGGTTATAGACGATTTATTAAAGATTTTAATTAAAAAAATATTTTTTAACTTTATTTTTTAACTTTATTTTTTAGGTCTACATTTATGTAATTTTGTTCAAATTGTTTTACGATCTATTGCAAATATTTTACATAGTATGACTAAGAGCTGTCTAACATCTCTGGCTTGGAAATAGGGATTGATTCTAAGTAAAAGACCATAAATGTACCACGTCCTAATCCGAACCGTCTTACATAACAAATGTACAAAACTCAATATAACATTTTATAAGAAACTATACCACAAACATATACTACCAATACGTACACGAGCCAACAACCACATCTTCCGCTCAAATATAAACAATCCACACCAACCACTAACACCATAGCTTCTAACAAACATCTTAGGCAGTCACATAGTACGCTAAACCACCTAAAGCATCACCCCAAACACCACCTCAAACCCCAGCCATGACATAATGAGCAACCAATCACAACGTCTAACATATTTCACAACATCATAGAATGAAACATTAAGATATTTTAACAATTAATGATCAACCAATCTTATGATCTTATCTAAGCATAAAATCATGATCATTTATTTTCTTTTCTTTCTGTGACATACTAATTTCAGCTGCAGCGTGAGAAGAACACAACTTCCAAGTCAAAAGATTTTAGAGGAAAAATCCACAACATTTGTTAGACATGATGCATCTGAAGATATGGTGAATTGCAAGAGGTAGAGAACTGCTTTAAGTTACTGAAAACATAGTGCAGTCTTCAACTTGAGAGAACCATTTTCACATGTCAATAACAATTACCTTACATCAGCATATAATTTGAAAATCTTAGAAGCATTTGAAAGTTCCAAAGCTTACAACACGTAATAATGAAGACACTAAATTATTTTGGCCATAATCTATTGAATAGCTTGCATCACATACTTTCTACCCACTATAAATTGTCCACTGCAAACTAATTAGTAACAGACTCAGAACAACTAAAACATAATTATGAAAACAACCCGTTTACATGTCGTAGTTTACAACCACTAATTTCCTAAACTTTAATTTTAACTGGATCAAAATTCGAGCTTTACATGCCATTAATCAATCATATGATTTTTTTCAGTTACAACTTTCAAAGATAAAACACAACGGCTTACAAAATTAGAGCGACCACAACTCAAAATCTGCACCACATCAGTTTCTTTTTCCATTTGTCTTTCACAAAATCATTTTATCCCGAGCAAAAGTTTTTAAAAGCGGAACAAATTACACAAACACTACATTAAAATGCTAACCCCGCAAACAACCACCAATAACTTAAATAATTGTTAACTTTAAATTATAAATATAGCATATCCCGTCCGTAGGGCGGGCCAAAATCCTAGTTATATATAAGATTTGATTCCATTCTTACAACAACACATATATACTTATAGTAGATTTTCACTAACTACTACACATGCACTTTAATAAATACAACTTAGCCCTTACTTCTACTAACCACTCTTAACAATTCTAACAACTACACCTTAGGTAGACTTTAATGAACACAACACTCCTTGTTGTTGGTTTTGTCTAAACACATGGTTAGTTTCATCTTGACTTTATTTGTTGTGACCAGTACCGGTCCTGTAAATTTAAAGGCTAGAAGCAAAAATTGAGAAAAGGCCGAAAATAAAATGTGTACAGGATGGGAGTTGAACCCTGCACCTTTTAACAAATGATATTACACTCAAGACCACTAGGCTAAAGTTGCATATGTAACAATATATGGCCGCTAAAATAATTATTACTGTGGCGGCCGGAAGCCAATGCTTCCTTTGCTTGTGCCCAGGGCCGCCACTGGTTGTGACTAAGTCACAACTCAACTCCTCTTTGGTTTGTAACCAATCTCAAGTGGCAATTAATGGCATCTTCTCCCACTTTGACTTTCTTCTTCTACGTGACTCCTTGGTCACTTTTTCTTGTTTGGCAAGTTTCCTTACTTCCACTTTTTCTTCTCTCTTGATTCATTTACTTTTATATGTTCTAATCAAATATTCAATTCCAACAGTTTCTGCATACAGGTCCGGTTCAAAGTTTTTTTGGGCCCATGACAAATTTTTTTTTTACATGTACTATAGTATTTAAAAAATTTAGGGCTTTTTTATGTGTTTTTAATAAAAATTGTGTTCTTTTTTTTTAGTATTTGTATTTTAATTTTCACTCAAAATTGGGCCATTTTTCTTTAAAATTGAACACTTTTTCCTTAAAATTGGGACATTTTTCTTTATCTTTTATACAAAAAAAAATTTGGGCCCATGGCCCATCCCCCTTTGGCTATGGGTCAGAGCCGGGCCTGTCTGCATATAGTATATAATCTGAATAATACTGAAATAATATTTTGTTTGTTTGTTAGCATATCCAATGTCAATCCCTGATTTGTGTAACAAGATGTAATATATTATCATTACACGTTCATAGATACAAAGAAGGAAGACTATTTTGAAAATATCATATTGATATATACGTGCCGGCTACTTCTGAACTATGAACAAGTCAGGGAAGTAATGTCTTTTTAAGTCTTTGACCATATCAATCTTCCAAATGTAGACGATGATGGAGGAAAATCACAGCAGTGGGGAAGTCGGAGGAGAGATTGTTTCAGATTGGTCGCCTTTCGATACCTTGCAAGATTGCATCGCCAACATAGTCTCCTTCACAAGTCCAGAGGATGCGTGCGTCTTCGCCACGGTTTCAAAAACCTTCGAATCTGCGGCTAAGTCAGATATTGTATGGGAGAAGTTTCTGCCCCCGGAGTATCCATCTCTGATTCCTCCATCGCTAGCTTCCTCATCGAAGATGGAGATCTATTTCTCTTTATGCAACCATCCTGTTCTAATCGAAGATGGCAAAAAGGTATATCTATAATCTTTGTGAAGTTCTAAGTCTCTTCTGATATTGGGCATCTCTCTCCCTCTCTCACTCATGATTTGGCCTTTTCATGAAAATCAAAAGAGCTTCTGGTTAGAGAAAAAGAATGGGAAGAGGTGTATCATGTTATCTGCTGAGAGCCTCTATATGGGGAGGTTTTAGTGAATTTTGGGCTTGGATTTCAAGTCCTGATTCTAGGTGTGTTACTCCATCATTCATTATTTTGAATCTTGATGGTGTGTGTCCACGTTCAAATCGACCTGATTTTTGTAACAATTTAAAATTATTAATTAGATAGTAAACAAGCTATGCAAATACATACACCATGATAAAAATAATATACCAAATAAATAAGTTTTGAAGAATTTCTTTGAAAGATCTTTCTTAATAGAGTATTAATTCAATTGTTTTCCTTGCGATTTTTCAATCTTAATCACATTGTACACACTAATTATCTTTGTTGTATTACATTGGCTCCAACTAAAATCTATAAATATTGTTCAATATAGAATCCAATGTATTGGTTCAGCCATAAGAAACAAAGATTGGATAGGCCAATTGTCAATAATTATATGAACAAATTGCATTGAGAGATAAAGAAATTCAAAATTCTTTTCAGTTAAGTTTTGATTGTCTCTCCATAAACAATAAGAAATTTCTCTCCAAATCTGAACCCCCTATATATTAATTGAGAAATATTTAAAAAATTGTAACCTAAATTTTGTAATAATTAAAAAAGAGCCCATGCTTACGTGTCACTCAATTAGGTAGTCAATTACATACAATTGAAAAATAATTAGGTCCACATTCGATTTTTATATGTCGCTAGATATATTTGTTGGTCAAACTATATGATATGATATGATATTTATGATAGAAGCATTTATGATATAATTACTATTTTATTTTCTTTCCTTGAATAAAAGCTACGGAATTACTATAAATGACAAATATATATATATATATATATATATATATATATATATATATATATATATATATGACAATTAATGTTTCTAGTAATAAATATTTGATAACAATTTGTATCTCCTCCATCATTTTTCTTTAATTTTATATTATTAAAATAAATCAAACAATCAAATTAGCTATAAAATTTAACTTTAGATTTGTTTCGTATATGTTATATTTTGAATTTAAAAAACCAAGAATAAGTGACTTAAACTATTAAAATTATTATGTTAAAAATTAATGATCAATAGTTCAACATTTTTATTATAAAAAGATACACATGATTTTAAAACCATATGAGTAAAAAGTATCATTAAATAATAAAATATATATATATATATATAGATTAAACTATATACCATATAAGATTACATACTTATTTTAATTTCAAAAATTTCAATGAATTTTCAAGAACAGTTATAAATTATAAACGTATTAAATTTTTCACATTGAAAATTTTTGTTATCACTGATTTAAATATATTAGTTCTTTTTTTTAATTTTCTATTTTTTAAAGATATTAACACAATCAATAATATAGTTATTTTTGGTACATACCATACAAACCGAATGTATGTGATTTTATAAAAACCGTAAGATTTGAATATAGTTTGATTTATAATCGATTAAACAGAAACATGTAAATATGTATATCTATTTGTTACATGAGTTGAACTATAATTATGATTTGTAAATCACTTGAATCACTTGAAATATAATTAACTAACAATTTAATGCAGCTGAGGCTTATTATTTTCTTCGTCTTTTTTTTTTTAAATCTTTTTTCTTTTTATTTAGTAATAACTAAATTGAAGTAAGAATTATAAATTTGATGGAAAACAATTAGTTGAAATTCTTTACAATTTTTTAATCTTTAAATAAACAGAGTTGTGTTCAATCGAAGACATATTAATTTGATGAACACTAAATATGGAAGAATATAAAAACTTTTCTTTCATGCTTTTGTTTTGTTTTTATTTTTACTTTCAAATTTAGAGATTTGATATTAATTCTAGATTTGATCATTTTATTAGATATAGAAGCCTTTTTTTGTTTTTTATTCTTTTAGTTAAATATATAATATTTTTTTTAGTAAATGACTTTTTGACAATATGACTCTAAATATGATCATATTATTTATTTTTTATAATATATAATATGATTTCAAACTAAATAATGATGTATTTTGGTATAAAATTGAATAAACTGAAAACCAATATATAAACCAAATCAAACTAAAGTAAATATGGATTTAGAATAGTAGTTATATTTTAATAACCAAAATACTGAAACCGATATCCAGATTGAACATCCTTAATCTAGATGAAACCGAACTTTTGTTTCATTTTCCAAAACATAATAAAAATAATAACTTCATCCCGTGCAAGGCGCGGGTCTTATCCTAGTAATGAATTACAAAACTTTTAAAAACCTAAATAATGTCTAAAACATAAAAGGACGTAATTGCAAATAATAGATACTTTGGGTCAATCTTTAATTCTTGAAATTTGATAGACACTCGTCGGATAATGCTTGTATTCATACTCCAAATTCATACTCCAAATTCCATGAACCTATGTGGTATTCCATCTTTTTTACAAGTTTTCCTCGCTTGATATGCAGATTCGAAAGAGTTGCGAGCCTTCGGGATGTATGTTGGTTTGCGATTTGTGGCACTATAGATGCTCGTGACCTATCTCCAATGACTCGTTACTCGTCTTACATTGTGTTTAAATGCGATTACATTTGTGGCTTTAGGGATGTCCCCATACAAGCTGAAGTTGGGGTGGTTGGAAAGAAACCTTCTAAGAGATTATTTTGCTTTGATCCTGGAGAGGATGTGGAGTTTGTAAAGAAAGGGAGGCGGAAATGGTACTTTGAGAAACAAGAGGAGAGGAAAGATGGCTGGATGGAGATAGAGCTTGGGAGCTTCTTCAATAAAGGAGGATTAATGAATAACGATAAAATTGAGATGAATGCTTTTTCAAACGATACGGCCCATTGGAAGCATGGCTTGATCATTGAAGGAATTGAAATTCGTCCTGTGATAACCTGAATACCAAGACCAGTCGGTTGAATATGTTTGGTATTATTACTAGAGAATGGTCCGATGATTCTGGTTATGCTTTGGTATTTGTCTTAAATATCCCAAACGTTGTTGTATACCCTGAGAAACAATCTTTCAGTCTTATGTCATGATCATCTTTATATGCTTGTATGACTTGACTGTGAGATAACAAACTAAGTTCCACATTGGAGAATTAGACAAAGAGAGTCTAATATATAAAGAGATGTCTAACTCTAATAGTACGAGGCCTTTTGGTAAGGAAACCAAAAGTAAATCCATACGGGTTTTCCTATTTGACCCAAAGGGGACACTATCGTACTAATCGGATAATAAAGAGTTGGACATGAGCTTTCACAATTCCAACAATTGGTATCAGAGCGGTTTGACAAGATATCTGCAAGAAGACCAAAATACCCTTCGAGAGATGAATGAGATCCTATGAGTTAGGAATGAGAGATGTGTGGCATAAATCAAGTCAAAAGATCCTGGAAATCAGTTTTAGGACACGAGATGAATGTGATCCTTAGTTTGAGAGGGAAAATGTGAGATAACAACCTAAGTCCCACATTGGAGAATTAGACAAGGAGAGTCTAATATATAAAGAGATGTCCAACTCTAATAGTACGAGGCCTTTTGGTAAGGAAACCAAAATCCATGCGGATTTGCCTATTAGACACAAAGTGGAGAATATTATACTAATCAGATAATAAAGAGTTGGACATGAGCTTTCACAATTCCAACATTGTCATCATATGCACTCTAGAATATTTCCAAAATCCAAAACCAGTATTAATGTATTATATACACATGGAGCTCCAGGAATGAGAAGTAACGTGCAGATTGATGCAAAGAAAAGTAGTTTAGTAAATATGTATGGACGACTTTAAACGAGTCTTTCTATTGAGTATGCAATCTTTTTAGTGTGCAAATATGTATTATATACACATGGAGCTCGAGGAAAGAGAAGTAACTTGCAGATTGATGCAAAGAAGGGTAGTTTAGTAAATATGTATGGACGACTTTAAACAAGTCTTTCTTTTTAGTTTTCCCAACGGCAAGAGACTCAATTTAGACAAATTTTTTAAGTCTCAACTTCTTGATGAAGAAAGAATACAAGACAGAGGCAACTATGGGACAAATACAGGGCGTTGACTCTAAAGGCAAAGGCAAAGATGTTTCCGGTTCGATGGTAGATCCAAAAGATGGCGTTGACTCTAAAGGCAAGGGCAAACAAGTTCCCGGTTCGTCGGCAGGGCCAACACACGGCGTCGACTCTAAAGGCAAAGGCAAAGAAGTATCAAGCTCGTTGGTGGGAGAAAACCAAAGTGGAGGAGAGATCATTACCGGTCCATCACCTTTTGATTACTTACCGGAAGATTGCATTTCAAACATAATCTCTTTTACAAGTCCTAGAGACGCATGTGTCTCTAGTTTGGTTTCCAAAACATTTGAATCTGCGGTCCAGTCAGATAGTGTATGGGAGAAGTTTCTTCCCTTGGATTATACTTCTCTGGCTCCTGCATCGCGGCCTTTCACATCCAAGAGAGAGCTTTACTTCACTCTTTGCAATCATTTTCTAATCGAAGATGGCAAAAAGGTATATCCATATCCATCCGTTTTGCACTTCCTTTATATGTTTTAAGAATCATTAATTATAATGTCCGCTACAGATTGATCAAGCTTGTGTTATGTTTGAGAATTATGGGAACAAGAATATGATTCTATGATCTGATATTATCTAGAGTAGTTTAGACTTATCCAACTATGCAATATTGGCTCATTATTTTGAGTTTTTTTTCTTCTTGAAAATCAAAGAGCTTTTGGCTAGAGAAAGGGAGTGGGAAGAAGTGTGTGATGTTAGCTCCAAGACAACTATGGATCACATGGGGATCAAGTCCTGAGTATTGGCAATGGATTTCAATGCCTGAGTCTAGGTGAACGTTTTTCCTTTGCAAATTAAGTCACACTATACAATTATATTATAGATAATATGTTAACTATAAAACAAAAGCCGTAACCTAGAAGATATGCAATGATTTGATAAAAACACTTTGTTGTGCAGGTTTGAAGAAGTAGCTGAGCTTCGCAACGTATGTGCTTTTGAGATGGGTGGTAGTATGAATACTCAAGTCCTATCTCCGGGAACTCATTACTCAGCTTACTTTGTATACAAGATAAGGAACCGACGTCATGGCTTACGTGACTTGCCCATACAAGTTGGAGTTGGGTTCAAGGGACAAGATATGCCTAAAAAGTTCATATGTTTTGATGTGTCTAACGATAGAGTCAAACAGTGGCCAAGAAAGGAGCTAATGAAATCGGAGAAAAGGGAAGATGGGTGGATAGAGGCAGAGATTGGAGATTTCTTTAATGAAGAAGATTGTGATGAAATTGAAGTGAGTATTGTTGACATTACTTCAGGGAACTGGAAATGCGGTGTGATCATTGAGGGAATTGAGTTCCGGCCAAAGGATTGCCGGTAAACTGATACCAGTTTAGTGTGGTGGAAACCCGGTTTGATGTTTTGTTTGTAATCTCTTTGGAAAAAAAAAATTGTGACATGATTTAAAGTTGGGAAATTGGAGCGTATAACCATAGAAAAAAACATAATTCACATACTAACCATTTACCCTAACAGACCTATAGACACCGTTATATATACATATTAATACTATAATACCCCTTCCTTTAACCGGTGTAATCTGCTAAAAAAAAAAAATATTAATGATAAGACGCACAAAAGTATATCGTGGTTATCCAATTTCACATCTTCCCCTTCTTTTCTTGAGTCGAAAGGTCTCCGGCACCGATTTCTGGATCTCCACAGCATCGCCTCCGCCTGATTTCAAAAGCTTTGCCATCTCCTTTGTACTCCCATTCCAATCGTTTATTTTTCTCTGCTTGTGCCATCCTCCGACATCGTACGACGTTAAAGTAGCAGTGACGTTTAGTAATAGAACTTTCTTCTCCAACTTCACGAAGTCGATTCTTTCCAAATCTTTGGAACTACAATATGTTCTCAGATGTTTATCTTTGAATCTCTTCATATTTTTTTTATTTTCCTTTCTATTTGGGCAATTGTCGAATTAAGGTATTATAATTGGTAAATCTACAACCTCGATACAATTGCATGTTGGATCTGATTTTTGGGTCAAAGTTTGCCAATTGATTTAGGGTTTTGGTTTCCCCGATTCTTAACAGCATCTGTAAGATAATTTATATGCGTGAGATCTCTTATTTCTATTTTATTTGAGATGGAATAGAAAAATTGTTTGTTTAAACTATTCTTTTTGTGATGGAATCGATTAACAAGCTATTCCACCGGCTGACAAAAAAAAATTCGTAAATTATTCAATTGGTTTATGACTGTAAATCGTGTCTTACCCCACTCCACCAATTACTTCACGATTCCCAGTAACTTCTATGCAAACGAACCGTCTCTGAGAACACCACCACTTAATCCCTAGAAACCACCAGTATCTCCGTAGAAACCGTCTTCTTCTCTGCGACATTCATAGCTACTGTCCATCGTCGCCCTCGGCTCAAGTGAAACGTCTCGGAGAACACGGAAACTTCATCCCGCCAATCCGTCTTTCTCTCCCAAATTATTCGTCTTTGTCGTCTTACGCACCTTCCCCATCTCCTCCGGTACTTGAATTGTAAGCTTCCTCTGTCTCTACTCCGCGTCCCCAAAAATGTAAGTTCTCTCTTTCTTCTGTTCACTCTCTTCTTAGTTTCGTATTATTCCTCTGTACAATTGGGTTGGCCACTGCATGTACAGTTCTCTCGTTGTCATAAGTAGATCCATACCTGTTTGGTGTATTCCAATTTAAATGGAATAGAAATTCATAAAATTCCAGACCTTTGGCGATTTTCTATGTTATTTACTGTTTTTACCGACATGAAAAAACTAAAATTCCAGACCTT